TTGATTGCCACCCTAATAGGTGATATATACGATTACTCATTGTAACTGAGAACCACGTGCAGCGAATGCATGACCTCTTTTTTACGCAGCGAATTCAGTTGTTTTTTTCTTTTCTCCGTAAAAATATATTGCAATGCTGGATGAATAGATGAACGAAAGTACATTATTATTGTCCATTAGGTCCTGTTAGTATCCTAGCCTCAATCAAGCTACTATCACGTGTGGCCATGAAGACAGCCTTTCAGCCGCTTAGCTGGCCCGTCGGGGGGGTCCATAAATGTCCCTGTAGGACTGCGTAAAGCTGCGTCTCATCGCTCTTCGGTATGTTCCTTGTCGCTGCATAACGCGGATCAACGCCCGAGCTATGAACGAGATTCAGGGTGTCGCGACATTTACATCGTATTGTAGCAACAAAACACTCCGGATCAATCCTGTTAATTACCAACGGGTTCGGGTAGGTTCTTGTCTGTAAGAGCCTTGGAGTAATGGCCTGAGCTCTGTTTAGTTTACTCTGTGGAGGAGGGAAGACACTGCGTTTGATATAGAAAGGTTTTGTTGGCTCGTTGTACGAGAGAAGGCGATCGTTGAATTGTGAAACCTTAGCATCTTATCTTGTGGCTGCATAGTTGACAAGTCCTCGTGAAATGCTTTGGGCAGATTCATTGAGGTTCGCGAGAGCGCATTTGATTTCTACCTTGTGAGCAAAAAACCAGATAATTGTGTGTGCTTGATTACTTTTCTCTTGAGCACTGCCAGGAGGACCTTTCTAGAGATTAATCCTTTGGCGAAAGCTCACATGGCTGCTCTAGAATTGCTGTGAATTCTCAATCGATTTCACTCTTAAAGTGCCAGTGCAATGGCTACTTGCTGGGCACTTTCCAATTCTGTGCTGTAGGTGGAAGGCAAGTTAACTAGTTTTTCTTGTACCATTATTATTGTTGTGAAAGCTCGTTTATTGGACGCAAAATCCACATCTACAAACGAGCATTCTTCAGCCTGACTTATAGCTTTTTCTAGCAGAGCTTTGGCGCTGTCTTGCCTTCTGCTGACATTGTGAATGGCGTGAGCATTTTTCCGAACTGGGATAACTGTGATATTAACCTTGATATTGTTGGCAATTTTGTGGCTGTCATATATCACTGTAATTGGTGTACCAATTCGCTTGAGGATGTGCTTTCCTGATTGCGCTGTTGTGAGTTTAATAAACTGGGCTCTTTCTTGAGCATTGGTGATTTCCTCTAAAGTATTGTACATCTCAAGGTACTTGAGACTTTCAGCTTAGGTTTACACAGGTAGCCCAAGAGCTAGCTCAATTGTCTTACTCAGCAATGCATTGAGTTTGTCTTTTTTGGATATTTGCCCATGCATGGCTGCTACGTAGGCGAAGTGGCATAACACAAGCGACTGAGCTAGTCTTACGACAGACTGAAATATAAAATTTTTCTTCCCTAAGGCACAATGTACTTTCATTTATATTTCTGCGAACACTACAACTGTGGAACAGAATAAAAAATGGGGCTAGTTGGATATGTATGATATAACTGTCAGTTGAAGCGCACGAATAAACAGAAAGGAAGAGAAAGTAAGCGCTTGTCCTCTCTTCTTTTCTGTTTATTCGTGTGCTTGAACTGATAGTAGTACAACTATGGTTCTCAATTATGGCTCATTTTTTTTTTGGGGGGGGGGGGAGGCACCTTAGGGTGCTCCAGACGTTCCAGGAAGGAAGGAAGCAAAATAGGAGGAAAAGAACGGCAGGGAGGTTAACCAGTCTATAGTCAGCCGGTTTGCTATCCTGCGCATGGGAGGGTGATGGGAGAGATGAAAGGTAGATAGGAGAGAATGAAGAGAGATAAACACAGCACATTAAGCAAGGTTTAAATGCAGCGCATTATAGCAAGCTGAGAATTTTATTAGCGTATATGCCACACGCATGCCGGAGAAAAAAATTATATATGTAGCACGTTTTATGGAAAGTTCTGAAAATGTAATTGTATTATTTGATACGTAATTTACTTTCAAACAAAACTTCTGGAAAATGGTGTAATTTATTGAAGTTCACATATATAAGCTAAGGAGAGAGAGGTAAATTTTATTTATTCCGGCAGATTGCTGGGCTGGGCTATCGCCTAGGAGCTAACGGAGAGACAGTGTCTCCTGTCAGCTTCCTTGGCTGGCTGGATCACCCTGAGTTGCTTGTCTAGGCCCGAACTGAGCAGCGCAGTCCACCAACGAGCCCGAAGGTCTTCATTGGAGGCCACGACCCCCAAAAATATAAAGCTACTACAACAAGGTGTCCTGTAATAAACTTGAAGTACCCAAAAAGGAGGCATTCATAAAATGACGGAGTGATAATCTTATAGCAATTTCTTTCGCACCGCGGTTTCAAATATTTCGTGAAGTTCAGAAGGCACTCACGGGCTCAAGAAATTGTTGCCGCTCAAATTGGCATGGAAAATAGTGTCTATAATTCATCGGACGATAGTGTATAAAACATCTATAATTTTGCAATGCTCTCTGCTCTTTCGAAAGAAATATAATTTTTGTCAATGGCCACGACTGGGAAATTTTTCATTGAATGGCCTTGCTCAACAAAGGGACACGTGAGGTGTATACTCGTCTCACTTTGTGTTTCTTCACACTAGACCTGTCCATGGTAGCCCATTTGTGCTGCCGTAGTTCATTGCGTATTTCATTACTTTGACATTCACTGAAGCGACCTCCGGGATACTTCTTTATGCGATAAGTTAAATAAGAGAAACGCATTCAATTAAAAGAGTGCTCGAAAAAGAGGTAGATCCGCGGTGTCACAATTCTGCAAAGAATTACGTACTTTAGCTCATGTGCTGTGACAGTGCCAAATATCCCAGGACTTTAACAACAGTGAATCCAGGGAGACGGCTATAACCAGCTTGAAACTGGAAGTCCCATTCAGGACTCTCCGGAACGCACTTGAGAGAGCTGAGAGGTGCTCTCATCTTCAAAACGGGATTGGCCAATAGCTAGCCAGGAGCCCTCTCCAGAGCTCCACTGGTTGGCTACTCAGCAACTTGATAGGGTTTTTTATTTATTTCTGTCTTTCTGAAAATTGAAGGAAAAATATTTTTCTTGACATTGCCTCGTGCAGATTTTTTTTCATTCGGTAGGAAGAGGTTTGTGCTTCAAGCAGACGACATCAGATTGACGTGTACGCATGTGCGTCTATACATTGCGCTGGATTTATTCGCAACAGAGACATGCATGCAGTTTACGTTGTATCAAATATTTTCGTTTTAGCCATTGCTCTTGCTTTCAGATTGTTGATTGCCCTGTTTTACTTATCTGGTATGAACGCCAACTCATTATCTCGTGCACACACTACAATGACATTCCTGCTTCACCACACATCCACAGGTACGCCGATACATTCTTCTAAAGAGTTATTTAAACAGCCACCCATGCTTCTCTTTTTCAGGCTTGTATCACGCTCCAGTAAAGACATTTTACTGTTCTCCAAATAAATCGATCTGGGTTTACATTTTTATTTCTTTCCAACCATAATTCGTCTTTGTGACATCTCTTATTCTACTTGTATTTATTAGCCCTGGGGCATGCACGCACCCTAAAAAACATATGTCATCTTGATTCGACTTGAAAAAAAAGTTTACGGGGATCTCTCATCTAGACTTTGAATGAAACTTACCAACATATCACTTCTGTAGTCTACAAACAACTGTAATGCTGAATGCTCTACATGGTCAAGGGACCTTGTCTTTATTGTAACCTTTAGAATACCCTAAAACTCTTTACACGTCTACATTCATGAAGCGCTTGCCAATGATATTCATCTAAGCACTTCACAACCACATTCAAATTCCCACTTTTCAGTCGGTGATCATTTTTTTTCAATATTCGCCATAATGGTCGCAATCAATAAGGACGCTGTCTGCAAGACATGACACCTCATGTTGCTTGCTTTATCAACGCAAGAGAGAGAGCTAACATTCAGGCTAATCTCTAAGAATCAGGCGTGTTGTGTCAAGGTTGCAGGTTTAGTCTCTGCAAGCGTCAAGTTGCAACTTTTTTGTTTTTTGTGTTCTGATTAATGAAAGTCAGTTGAAGTGCTACACTTCACGTCCACTATATCTTCCCTGGCCTGATTGTCAGCTAGTTTTTGTTAGGGTTGGGGTATCAAACGCAACCTACAGGGGAACATTATAAAATAAGGTAGTGATGACCAGTTACCTGTGCATTGGGTCACGTGCGGTTCCTTTGCACTTTTCGATTAGTTTCATTCGGCACAGGCAGAGTGAGAAGCACTTTATTTAGTATTGGATGAGCAGGTATTATTATTCTTGGCTGACATTGCGTTGCTGGGGTACTACTACTATTTAAAAACAAATACCTATATTTTTAGGCAGCTGTGCCTGCGCATACCCAAGTTATTGCTTTGCTTTTGTTGAGGGCATAAAGATTTGTGAACCTTGCGAAAACAATTCATTCTGAAAACCTAGCACCTTTCTGTGTCTGATCCTTCATCCTGTCCCATCTCGAGAGGTTTATAACTAAGGACGTATTCTACAAAAAGCCCATTTGTCAACCCTTGATGATATCTCAACTCTCAAGCATCTGTGTGATTGCTAACAAAGTTAGTTCATCGCTGTCGTGTGTTCTTTTTGGGGGGTATCGTCAGCAGCATGCCCCGACAAAATGTTCTAAAAAGGTTAATGAGAATTCAATAATTGAGAAAAGTATCTGCCGGAGTATTTTCCATACACTTAAAAATAGTATGCAATTTCTTATTCTGCTTCAAATTACATGGCAAAGAGTTACCTGAAATAAACTGATTTCCTGAAGAAAGCAAAATTTGCATTTTGATAGCTAGGAAACAGTTCCTTAATTATGGCACTGTTTTTCTTTTCATTTCGTTGATTTTGAAACAAGCTGACAAATGTTTAGTATTTACTAGGAGGAAATATAGAAGCCATGTCAAATGTAAAGCCAATGTAAAGAGTTTGGCAGTAGCGGTGACCGGCGATAGACGCCCGTTCTGACGTGTTCATCTGCATTTTTCACAGGACTCGGCGGCCGACGGAATCTGGCATCGCAAACATTGGGATTGCGTCATGATCTGAGACGCCCCTGCCCCCACCTGTTATCGGCAGTTTGGCAGTAGCGGTGACCGGCGATAGACGCCCGTTCTGACGTGTTCATCTGCATTTTTCACAGGTTCGTCCCTGTCCTGCCGCTGATACCGGTGGTCCTATTCTCTGGATAGCTGGTTCTGCCGCACTGACGAGCGTGGTACCTTGCAACGCCGGCAACTGCTACATTATTCTTCTTTTGGATGTCCAGGACTCGGCGGCCGACGGAATCTGGCATCGCAAACATTGGGATTGCGTCATGATCTGAGACGCCCCTGCCCCCACCTGTTATCGGCAGTTTGGCAGTAGCGGTGACCGGCGATAGACGCCCGTTCTGACGTGTTCATCTGCATTTTTCACAGGTTTGTCTTCACACATTCACACAGTGTTTTCCTTTTCCTATTTTTCTGCTGGTTGCTGCTACTGCCAAACTTGTCGTCGTAGTCATGCTTTTCGAGGTGTATGAGAGATGAGTGTTTCTGAGGAGGACATATGCCTTACTTGCATGCTTACCCTAGAAACTACTGATGCTAAAGTGAAATGCAAAAAGTGTGGTAATTCTTATCACATCGAACAGTGCTCTGGACTGACTGAGCCGCTTGATAAGACGAGAAGTGGCACCAATTCTCGCAAAAACTATGTGTGTTCCACGTGTAAAACTGGTGCGCCATGCGTCGGTGCAGGTGCCGCTGCTGCGGCTCGTCAGGATTTTAACTTTGCTGTTGCTTTTGCGGAGTTAAGTCAAAAACTTGATTTTCTAATGCCACTAAATGAAAAGATGAACAGCATTGAACAGGCAGTGCAAACAATGTCTGATCATTTCGATACCATTCTGAAGCGATTGGACAGCCAAGATAAACAAATTGAGCAGCTCCGTAAGAGAACTGAACAGTTGGAACGAGCAAGGCCTGACGAGGAACTACACCAGATAAACTCTGACTTGAATGACCTGGAAATGCGTAGCAGGAGCCGAAACTTGGAAATTCATGGGAAACTTTTCAACGAGCACGAGAATCTACTCCAAAAGATAAACGAGATAGCCAGGATGATCCAAGTTCCTGAGGTCAGCGATCACGACCTTGAAGCTTATCATCGCCTTCCGGCGAAGGCAAATAAGACCCCCGCCATTATCATACGTTTTCAAAGCCAAAAGCTGAGGGATATGTGGCTGCAGAAAAGGCGATTACTAAAGGAAAAGGATGCAAACATATACTTTTCGGAAAACCTAACGCGCAGGGCAAGAACACTATTGTGGACTGTGAAGCAATGGGCTCGCGATAATGGCTTCCGTTACGTGTGGTATGCAAACGGGAAAATCTTCATCCGCAGGAAGATGGCGAACCGTCCCATGTTGTCAGGGACGCGAGTCAGCTGGCTAATTTTACTGTGGTTAGGCACGTCAGCACATAATATGTGAACATCACGTCAAAATGGCTAACAATAGATTCGTGTTGCCTTGCAACATTCGCAGCGTCATGCCTACCGATTGGTTGGGCTCATCAGTGAAATGTTTTCATTTGAATGTACGATCACTGAACAATAAGGCTGATGAACTGCAAATTTTGTTAGACAGTTTTAACCTGTCTTTTGATTTCGTCATGGTATCTGAGTCATGGCTGAGCAGTAGCTTTTGTTTGCCATCATTTTCCACATTTGCCGTCAATCGTAATGTGGGTCGTGGTGGAGGTGTTTGCATTTTCGTTAATAAGAAAATCGAATGTGAATTGATCTCGGAACTTTGTTGCATGTCATCTGCTGTTGAGGTTGTTTCTGTATTGGCAAATAATACCGTTTATTCAGTGTTCTACCGACCACCCAGTGGAGATGTTGACGTATTTTTTGAGTACATTGAATCATATATTTCTTTTACTTCTGCGCATCACTATGATGTCATTATGGGCGGTGATTTTAATATAGACATGATGTCTAATTCTGCCCATGCAATTGATTTTGATGTGCTGTTAAGAAGTTTTGGCTTCAGTATTGTTACTAAGCTTCCTACTCGTATAACTACTAACTCAGAAACACTGATTGACCTGTTTATTACTAATATTAACAATTCTGTTATACATTCAGGGGTAATCTGTTGCGATTTAAGTGACCACATGGGCATTTATTTGTTTTTTCAGAAAAAGCAGCCTAGATCTAAACACACATGTACCCCAATGGTTCAGTACGTCACACCTAATGCTCTCGAAAATTTTCACAGTGAAATGTCACTTATGTCATGGAGTGATGTGTTCAATGAAACTAATGCAGAGGCAGCTTATGAAAAGTTTCTTAGTAAATTCTGCGGTGTTTATAATAGGCACTTTCCGCTAAAAAAGAAACGTACTATGAAAAAGATAAGAAAACCTTGGATATGTAATGAACTTCATACACGCATTAAACAGAAGAATAAACTCTATAACACATACATTGCCTCCAAAAGCACACAGCTGTTTCAAGAGTTTAAAAGCTACAGAAACAAGTTGACCAGTGACATCCGAAATGCCAAAAAGCGATATTATGAAAAACAATTCGAAAATTCATTTCGGCATCCTGATAAACTATGGAAACAAATCCGTTCTCTGGACGCTAATTTCATTGAGGATACGCATTTCGACAAGATCACTCATAAAGGAGAAGATTACACAGGGGAAAAATTAGCTGAGGCATTTAGTTTGTACTTCGCAAGGGATCATTCTACACCACATAACTCACAAGACACCCCTACTGCCAGATGTTCATCTACTCTTTTTCTTGAACCAGTAGGTGAGAGTGAAGTAACGCAAACGTTTCTTGAGCTTTCAAACAGTACGTCATGTGATTTAAACAACATACAAATTCGTCCAGTAAAATATGTCATTGAATTAATCTGTGTGCCGCTTACACATATCTTTAATTTGTGCCTGCAAACCGCTACATTTCCTTCGGCTATGCAAACAGCAAAAGTAATTGTGCTTTACAAAAAGGGAGACAAAAATGACTTAGCAATTATAGGCCAATTAGTATCCTTCCTGTTTTTTCTAAATGTCTGGAAAAAATCATACTGAAACGCATGGACAAGTTTTTACAATCTAACAATATTATCAATGATTCTCAGTATGGATTTAGAAAAAACCGTTCTACGGAAATTGCTTTGATTCATCAAAAGAATATATTCTTGATAAATTAGAAAAAAATAAGTTCGTGTTAGGCATTTTTGTAGATTTTACCAAAGCATTTGACTGCATAGTACACAGTATCTTATTTAGAAAATTGGATTTATGTGGTATTAGAGGGCACGCTTTAGATTTAATAAAATCTTATTTATCTCATCGGAAGCAGTACGTTCAAATCAGCAATTTTCAGTCCAAAACGCGTGATATTACAGCCGGTGTGCCACAGGGCAGTATACTTGGGCCTCTTCTCTTTAACATTTATATTAATGATATTGCGAACATTGATGATCAATCCAGGTTTATTATTTATGCGGATGACACTACAATCCTTTTGTCAGCTGATACACACAATGAGCTATCTTCCCGTGGTAACAATGTATTAGGTAAGCTAGAAGTTTGGACAAAGGAAAATGCACTGTCAGTTAATGTAAATAAAACTAAAGCTATAATTTTTAATTCTATTAATAAAAAATCTGATACTTTAGTACATTTGCTGTATAAATCCCAGCCAGTTGAAATTGTCAGGTCAATAAAATCACTAGGAGTTTATTTCACACTACATTTGCAATGGAATGATCATGTCCACAACATTTTATTAAAAGCATCGAGAGCGGTTGGTATACTTTGGCGACATAAATCTGTTTTACCTTTAAAGGCAAAGCTTGCTATATACCACGCTTTATTCCTTTCACACTTGAACTACTGCACGTTAGTGTGGGCGACAACGACTAAAACTAATTTAAGAAAAATTTCATCACTCCATAATAAAATCCTCCGTCTAATTTACAACCTTCCTCACAGACATACAACAGATCACTTGTTTAGTGAACATGAAATCATCAATGTTTACCACCTATACATTTACAGGCTTTTACGCCGCTATAAGATCGAACAAAAAAAACGTTCATTTACTATTACAGATATCGCTTCCATGATACGTTATCAATCAAAGTACCCTCACCGTCATCAACCACCTTGGATGCTTCCTCGTATAAGAACTAACTATGGACAACAAAAAATTACTTATCAGCTACCGTTACAATTAAACAGGTTATATTCATCAGGTGTTAACATAGCAGATATCACCCTTTCTCAACTTCGCCAATATCTTATTAACACTCCTGACAATTAAGACCTTATCTTCAAAGTTCGTAGATAACAATTAGGGAAAACAATAAACAAAAACACAAAGGATGAAAATGCAGTCACCGCTGCATGTAAATAATATGTTTAATGTATTCGTGCTTTACATATTGCGACTTTTGATTTATATTACTATATATGTTTATTGCACTGTGTCTGTGTGGGTTTTTTTTTTCTTTTTTAGTTTGAAGGCTTTATCAATTCTAATTTTGTTAATGTTGTGTATTCTTGTCAGCTGTGGTGTTCTGTTGCCGCCACCGCCACTGCCTTATGTACATTGGGGGGTGAGAACTTAGTCAAGCGGATAATCGCTTTTATTCTCACCCCCTCCATCAACTGTGTATTGGTGGAAAAATAAACCATTATTATTATTATTATTATTATTATTAATATCAGTGTATGATACATGTAATATTGACTATTGTCGATCAACAGTTATTTTTGATTTGCAATGACCCTCGTGAACCATGAATAAATGAAAGCTATAACTAAATGGCCCAAGCTTAAGTGGAACTACTGCGCAGTGACCACTATTTTAAAATGCGTGCTAAACGCATGCAGCGTGTACTTGTCAAAAAATAATGTAGAAATGATGATATTGTTTTGATGAAAGCAAACAATTTGAGAGTAAAAGCTGTCATTTGGACAAATATAAGTGTCGAATCATTGGTAGCGACAACATTCCATACTAAAGGATAGCAAATTAAATACTACTATCTACTCCATGTTTAGTGTTAAAGAATACATATTAAGCAATAGGGTTTCTGCTGCTATAGGGTCTCTACTGTTAATACCAAGCAATCGGGTCTACGACGCCGCTGCCACGATGGTTCGCTTACCGGGACTGGTAACGCAGATTGCATTCTTCTCGGATCTGGATCATGGCTTTCCGTGCGCCATTCCTGCACTCAGCTGTACGGGTCGACACTGTCTGCCTCACCGGGCATCATCTCGCTTGGCGCTGCTGGTCTTTGTGATCAGGCTTGGTCACATGAGTCGACAACGGCCATCATCGAAGATAACAGCGTGGGATATAACCACCTACCTCTGACTCTCGCAGTTCGGCACGACACCGCTGCTACGATGGTTCGCTTACCGGTACTGCTAACGCAGGTTAGTTATTTGAATCATGCCTATAGTGTTAGGACCTCTGACCGTTGTTTTATTGCGGTGTCCTGCCCACCTCATGTTTTTGACGTCACTAAAAATTATTGTTCCTTCATGCCTTGACGTATTCTAGTATAGTTGATCCGCTAGTTTTAGTCGCTGGAGACCTAGAGCTGAGCCAGGTGCCACTACTGCCGATCTGTCGCGCTCCCTGGCTTCGGTTCTGAAGACAGTTCCTAGAAACGAGGAAGGTGAGAACGCTATACTGCGGGAACTTCAGGGCGTAAAAGAAAAACAGGCTGTGACTGACTTTGAAATCAAGAGTTTAAATAAAAGAGCCGGGACACTGGAGGTGGCCTACTCTCCAGTCACTCCTAGTGAAACTAACGCCTCAAATGTTTCTGACATCGCCAATAAACTAAAAATTATAACGTCAAAGTGCGAAGATACCGAAAACAAAATGCGACGCTCTAATATACTTTTTTAGCATTGAAGATGATGAGAAAAAAGATTGGACGGTGACTGAACTAAAGATCATAACTTTCTGTTCCCAAAATCTTCACATCACAATGACTGGTTCACAATTCAATAGGGTAGATAGATTTGGTCGCT